TTATTTGTATTTATTGGAATCTGCTATATGTGCTTGTACCTTTGGATATAATCAAACATAACTTATATCTCTATGGTTTGTACATTTTCTTTTGTATTTGTAAAAATAAGTAAGTTAAAAGATGATAATGGAAATATAGATCTTTTCTTTTATTCTTAAATAAAACTTATTTAATTATAAGTTTATATAATTTATTTTTAAGCAACCACTATGTTTAGGGAATAAAGATCTTATGAGGCATTTTCAGCTCTCCATCTGCCTTCCAGGGAAACATGTTTAGTAGCAGATATGGTCATAGGTCCAGCATGGAAGGGATAGGGTGACATAGGATTTCCCTTAACTCATAACTGCGAAGTGCTTTATTCTCTCAAGTTTCAAGGACAAGAAAACTGGCATTCAAAGAAGTTCTGTAACTTGTCTAGAGCCCATGGCTAGTCACATTGGACCATGACTGCAGTGTTTTCCTTTTACTCTTCTTCCATTTCTAAATATCCTGTAGCTTCACTAAATAATCTGACTATTGACATTTCCACTGTCAACTTATATCATCTTTCCTTGGTTCTTGTTACTAGGAGTTGTTGACAATGAAGATACTTTCCTCCTTTTTTATGACTATTTTAGCACCTTGCTAATATATTTACAGTCTACTCTCACTATTTTTCAGCTTCAATGATTGAAAATTCACATTGAGCCTTTTAACACCTTGGCCTTATACTTCCCTAGCTTCTCACTTTCAGTAATTTGCTAAACTCTGTTGAGTTTCTTTCTCAAAATAGACTTTATTTTTCTTAGACCAGTTTTAGGTTCACATCAAAACTGAGCTGAAAGTCCAAGGATTTCCCATCTAGCCTTTGCCCCCCACCTCCTCCACCAGAGTGATACATTTCTTAGGATTGATGAACCTACATTGATTGACACATCATTATCACTCACAGTCCATAATTCATTTTTGGTACATTCTGTGGGTTTGGACAAATGTATAAAGACATGTATCCACCATTATAGTATCATACAGAATAGTTTCACTGCTCTACACTACAGATCCTTTGTGCTCTGCCTATTCATTTCCCCCCCGGCCCCCACACCTCTGGCAACAACTGATCTTTTTACTATCACCATGATTTTGCCTTGTTTAGAATGTCATATAGTTGGTATCATACAAAATGTAGGCTTTTCAGCTTAGCTTGCTTTACTTAGTAATAAGTACTTAAGTGTTCTTTATGTCTTTTTACAGCTTAATAGTTCATTTCACTGCACACCACCTACTGGGGATCAAGCCCGCAACCTGGGCATGTGCCCTGGAGTGGAATCGAATTGGTGATCTTTCAGTGCACAGGATGATGCTCTACCAGCTGAGCCACACAGTATCTCTTCACAGGCAGTGCCACTACTGTAGTTCAGAATAAAATTTTCTTTTAATAGGACTACTTTAGGGTGTGTTAATCTACCTGCCTGTAATAGGTCTCTCTCTCTCTCTCTCTCTCTCTCTCTCTCTCTCTCTCTCTCTCTCGTTCAGCTTACAAAGTGTGGTTATATTCACTTGCTAAATATCAGTTCTAGTATTTTACTTTTCCATCCAACAGCTGGCAGAGGCTTTTGTCTAATAAATAAAACTTCTTAGCTTGAAGATCTTACTTCAACCTACCATGCAAACAGAATTTTCTTTTGCTATTATCCTTCATGCCCCCTTCTTTCCAGACAAACCGAATTTTTATTTATCTTCTCTGTCAGCCTTATGTTTTCTTGCACTTACCTCTCAGGATTTTTCATCATTATTCATTGTTCTGACAACATGATATATCTAGTCAATCTCCATGCCACTACCTCTTCCTCCTGTGCACTTATATCTGCTTCTTCCTTTTCATCTATTCTGTCACTGCCCTTGGGCTCAGCAGTTCTCCAGTGTTTCCTGCAGGAACCTCTTTTCTTTCTTTTTTTTTTCTCCAAAAGTTTTCTTTATTCAAATGCTATATAAGATTTTATTTTATTTTATTTTTATTTAAATTCTTTATTGTTTAAAGTATTGTATAAGTCTCCTTTTCCCCACATTGATCTCTCCCCGGCCATTCCAATCCCCCAGCACATGCCCTCACCTCCCTACTGTCTGTGTCCATTGGTTATGCTCATATGCATGCATACAAGTCCTTTGGTTGATCTCTTACAACCCCCCTCCTCTCCACTCCCCCCAGCCTCCCACCTTCCCTCTTAGGTTGGACAGTCTGTTCCATGCTTCTATGACTCTGGCTCTATTTTTGTTCATCAGTTTATGTTGTTCGTTATATCCCACAAGTGAGTGAGAGCATGTGTTATTTATCTTTCTCTTACCAGCTTATTTCACTTAGCATAATGCTCTCCAGTTCCATCCATGCTGTTGAACGCCCTCCCTGCATACTCCTGTCGTGAAGATCTTTCTCTTGTGGAAATCTTAAGCTACCACTTTCCTGCTTGGGAACTTTTGTTTGTTCTTCATTCGCTGAAGCAATTTTTTTTTAGCATGGTATTCAAGTCATGGCTTTTTCAAATATTGAGATATAATTGACATTTAACATTATATTAGCTTCAGTTGTACAACATAATGATGTGATATTCGTATGTATTTCAGAATAATCACCACAATAAGTCTAGTTAACAACCATCATCATACGTATCACGGCATTTTAATGTCTTAACTCTTGTTGTACCACCTTTCATTATGTACTTTTTGTTCTATAGAACATATTAAGTTGTACATCTCTCTTTGCTTTTTCCCTCTCTCATGGAATGTTTCCCCTGCTTTGCCCATCTGAGAAATTCCCAATTCATCTTTTTTTTTTTTTCAGGTCTCACTGCTTCCCAGTGTGGGCTGAGACTGAGTCTCTTGCTCCTTCTCACAGTATTATGCTCGATTTCTCCTCTAAGTTCTGAGTGTGTGACTGTGTGCTATTGCCCCAAATCTGTGACTGCATTTTTCTTCACACTCCCTTTCCATATCCTATTTTTTATTTCATCTTTTAACTGCTGTTTAGACATGACATCCTGAAGTCCTTTCCCGAGCACCCCAAATAGAGTTAATCTGTCTGTTTTTAAGTGTTGCAGTGTTACTTCTGTGTATTTCTTGATTGCTCTTGTCATGTTGTATCACAATTACTACGTGTATATTACATGTTTGGCTTTCCTCTTAACTGTGCATACTAGAGACACTTTATTCATGTGTACGTGTGTGCATCTCTAGTATCTAACAGAACAGAGGTGCAATGGATATTTATATATTTATAATGTGGTTGAATTGAAATAAACCTCAACATACTGAGGCCAAATGGCTGCTCCAAGTCTCATCCCGGTGGAGCAGTCTTCCCACAGCAGTCTTTCCTGATGTTTTTCTTCATCATCACCCTGAACTAGAAATGATCCCACCTTTCTCCAGATGTCATAACACCTTGTTTGTCCCACTTTTTTTATATCCACAACTGGCATTTTGATATTTGTAAGGAATTTTTTTTTCTTCCATCTGAATTGTCAGCTCTTTTAGGGAGAAATTTTAGTTTCTGATCTTTTATATTTTACTAGAAGCCTGAATTCATGCACAGGTGGAGTCCCTCGGCTTGGCCGGTGATAGGGGCCGATCAGGGCCGATCAGGGCTGATCAGGGCCGATCAGGGCCAGCCAGCCGGGGGGAGGGACTGTGGGAGGTTGGCTGGCCACGGGAGGTTGGCTGTGGGAGTGCACTGATCACCAGGAGGCAGCTCCTGTGTTGAGTGTCTGCCCTCTGGTGATCAGTGTACATCATAGTGACCGGTTGAATGGTCGTTAGAGGCCCGATGCACGAAATTCATACAAGGGGCTTGGCCCTTGCAGCCGTGGTAGCTTGGGTTGGCCCTAGCAGCCCCGGCTTCATCCGGAGGGTCATCTGGAAGGATGTCCGGAAAGACATCCAGAAGGTCTTTCGGCTGTCTGGTCTAATTAGCATGTTGCACTTTTATTATTATAGATAATACCTAATACATATTCTTTGCAAATACTAGAAACAAAATAAATATGGATTAAATAAATGACTTGGTGAATAAGATTTTAATGCTCATTGCATGGGAAATCAAAGAAATTTAGAACTTTAAGGAACTTTCGAAAATTTACTCTAAGAGTTTCATTTTACCTCTAAGGGTATCAAGTTCAAAGAAGTTCTGCCCCTGTTTTCAAGATCTCAGCACTTAAGGAGGAAAAATTAGGATACTAACCAAAGTCTCCTGATTCCAAGGCAATGCTTTTATATATTTCTAATTATACTACTCTGCCTCTTTAATTGAGTAAAGTATCAATGAGTCTTTTTGATGCTTTAAATTGTAATGCCTCCAATTATTGACTTAATTTTTCAATGATAATTTGTAAATCATACAAAAGATCTTTGCTAAATAAGGATGTAAAAAACACTGAATTTTCCAATTGGATAAATGATTTTTTTAAAAGAGGATTATACACCCTTAAAATTAAACCTAATTGAGGAATAAGATATAGAGCTATTACAAAATGAGATCTTCATATAAACATATTCATTGTCATTTCTAAGAAATGACCTTATGAAGAAAACTACCCTTAGAACTAATTTAGAAATGGACCACATATTCAATAACATTTTTTTTCATTTTAAAAATCAGTACAAGTATGTGACTAGTCATACATATGAATATAAACCATAAATAATATCCACTTTGGTTAAGTAACCTTATTTATACCAGCAGACAAGTTTATTAATATAGTTCTCTGACTGATTTTGCATGCTCATTGATATTTATGTATTTTTCACATGTATACATACAAACTATATAAATGTGTATAGCACCCATTTGTCACAGTTGCCATATAGTTTGATTCCCCCAGTGAAAAATTGACAAATAGTATACGTCTTGAAAATTAACATTGAGGGATAAGTAAGAACATGTCATTGTTTTGTACTCTGACCGTGCCATTCTCAGAAAGTCCGGAGCACAGTTTCTAACTGTCTTTTCTATATATTTTTCTATTGAAAGGTAAATAAGATCTGTGGTCATCCAATCAGAACACCCACCGAAAGCCCCCGTTGTTCTTTCGATGGGAGTAAAGAGAAGCTTAGAATGAAGATCTCTACAAGAAATGGCGAAGACACGCTTGCCAACAGAAGAAAGTAAGACATTTGTTTTACAGCCAGAAAGAGAAAAGAAAGTAAGCCATTAATTTTACAACAGAATAGAATGTATTCAATTAAGTAGAACAAAATACACTGTTGAGGAAACAAAAGATAAACATTGATTCCCTTTAAAATCCAATGGTTCCTTCTTATTCCATTAATGAGGAACATAGCTGCAACTTTTGAGGTCAATAAAACTTTCTGTGAAAGGGGCATTTTCTATAATAAATATGGCAGGCCCTGGGCACATGTGATCACCATGCCCTTAAAATGTTGCTCAGCAGATCTCTATGGCTTACTCCTCTTGCTGAACTGACACTTTACGCACATTGATTAGTGACGCCCTATTTCCCCCTCTCTATGGTCAACAATACTGTTATGTACACTAGTAAATTTGTTAACAGGGTATATCTCCTGGTAAGTATTCTTATCACAATAAAATATAAAAAAATGTAAATGTAGCTAGTGTGATTGAGGATTGAAGTTTTAATTTATTTCATTTTAATTAGTGTTGGTCAATATTCTATGTAGCTACTGGCTACTGTATAGGACAATATAAGACCAAAAGAGTATACATGTGAGTCTTAACTAGGGGTTAAGACTCTGCTAAGAAAGAGGTTGATATAAAGACATTTTCATACCTTTTACCTGGAATACTGAAAATGGCTATCTGTCGATTCAAAATGATCCAACATTGAGTGACTTGCTCTCCTAACTCACGCTTCTACCATTATACCCATCACTAGAGGCCCATTGCAGAAAGATTCATGCAATAGGCCTTTCTTCCCCTGGCAGCCAGCACCGGTTTTCCTCAGGACCCAGGCCTTTGGTCTGGCCGCAGAGGCGAGGCTTGGCTTCTCCGCTCCAGCTGCAGCGGAGAAGCCAAGCCTCTTCAGTCTTCAGTCATCTTCAGTCTTCTTCAGTCTCCCCTCCACGCCTGCATATGCAAATTAACCACCATCTATATTGGGTTAATTTGCATACTCATCCTGATTGGCTGGTGGGCATAGCAGAGAAACATCAATTTTCATGTTTCTCTTTTATTAGTGTAGATTATTTCACATGTTAAATCAACCTTCATTAGTATGCCTTAAAACTGGAGGAAACTATTATTTAATTTTGTGTTCAGTTGACCAGTGTATGCCCTGGCAAATACTAGATTCTCAGTGCATGTTTTGTATTAACTGAAATTCACAGTTTTATATTCAATTATTAATTCAAATAATTATTTCTAATAATACCTGAGGGATCATTCAATATTTTACATAGCTTACTCTCTGTAATGATAAATTTGTTTCTGTCTTTTTGGAGGGTGCTCCTAAATTGTCCCAGTCTCTCTTCAGATGCGCTATAAGTTTTGGATAAGATCTGGTTTATTGCTGACTATTTGCTACTACATAAAAGAATTAACATTTTACATGCAAAATACCTGTCCTTTTTCTCTCTAAACATCTATGGTGATCAGCAACTATGTCTCGTGTTTGATGAATTAGTATGCTTTGGATGGGTGTTTTTAATAATAAAACCCAGCTTAAAGGTCATGTCTGTTTCACCACCAAAATAATCAAATTACTGGAAAACCAAAACAAAGCCCAACACTTAACATGGTTTATTCACTAGCAAAACTAAGCCAATGCGGTGAAATGTTACAAAATGTCTCAGTAATAATGTGGGGCTCAAATGAGTGGAAAGTTTTATTACTATCTTCTCTGGCCATCAGGTAGACCACTTTGTCACCAATCTTTCAAACTCATTATTTCTATGCCCTTGACCAGAGGGCCATCATTAGCCATCGCCTACAAATCAGGATAGATCTATCACAGCAGTCTCATGCCCCACAAAATGAACAACCATAGATACTACAAATGAGCCCACTTAAGTATTTCATTTTTTACAGTTCTTTAAAATATATCTTTTATTGATTTCAGAGAGGCAGGGAGAGGGAGAAAGAGATAGAAATAGCAGTGAGGAGAGAGAATCCTGAAACGCCCCCTACTGGGGACTGAGCCTATAACCTGGGCATGTGCCCTGACCTTGCATGTGCTGTAACCTCCTGGTTCATAGGTCAGTGCTCAAGCACTGAGCCACACAGGCTGGGCAATTTTTAAAGATTTTTTACTGCCACTCCTGAATGGAGCTTAATTATTTATCCTTTCTTGCCTTCTTTTGAGTTTAACAGGTATTTCGGTATTTATTATTCTTTTTATCCTCAGAGCTTTATGATCTTTTTTTTTTCCTTTTGTTGTTGCGTTAATATCACCCAAGAATATTTATTGATTTCTAGAGAGTATAGAAGGGAAGGAGGGAGAGGGTGTTTGAGAGAGAAAGAAACATCAATGTGAGAGAAACATGGATTGGTTGCCTCCCACATGCGCCCCAATTGGGGCCAGATCAAATCCAAAATCCAGGTATATGCCCTTGACTAGGAATCTAAACTGGGACCATTCAGTGAGCAGGCCAGTACTCTAACCATCGAACACACCAGGCTAGGCATGTTTATTACTTTTTAATGGCTATCATAGAGATCACAATATGCATTTTTAGTTTTACCATATATTTTAAATTAGAACTCTTGCCACTTTATTAAACAATGTAAGAATCTTAAAATAGTTTCACTCTATTACTCTCTTCCTATCTTTTGTACTGTTTTGTCAACAGATCTTACTTCATCCAATATTTTAACAAGCCCGAAGACATTGTTCTTTTTAAATACTAGTAGTCCCTATTTATGTACAATTCTTCATATATTTTAATTCTTTTTGGTGCTCTTTTCTTTTCCTAGTCCCATGTATCCATCATGAATCATTTTATTTTAGCTTTAGTATAACTTTTATTACTTATTACTAGTGATGAATTCTCACAGCTTTTTTTGTCTGAACATATTGTCATCTTTTAAAGAATACTTTTAATAGATCTAGACTTCTAAGTTGTTGCCGGTCACACCATATTTAAAAGAACAGATGTCCAGGCCACAGTGAAGTTCATGACATGACACTCTGTAAATAGCAGGGGAGGTTTAGTGGAAACATTTAACATGAGAGGTAACTAAGGTAGTAGATGCTGCGGGGGGCCCTGCTCAACTCCCTTCACCTGGTCATTCTACCTGCCTCCTGGCTGCTGATCACTCACAGCTGCCCTCTGCTCTGGGGAACTGTCCTCAACAGACAGGAGCCATCTGATCTGTTACCAACTGCTGCCTAACAAATCATTCCCAAACGAGTGGCTTAAAAGCGACAATAAGCATTTATTATGCATTTTCCAGGGGTCAGGAGTGTGGGGACTGCTTAGCTATAGGATTTTGACTCGGGTCCCTAGGGAGATGGCTGTCAGGTTGTCAGCCAGGATAGAGTCCTCTGAAGTTCTCAGGGGGACGGATTATCATTTCCCAGGACGGCTCACTCACAGGGCTGTTGGCAGGAGGCCTTGCTTTCTTGTCACAGTGACCTCTTCATAGGACTGCTTGAGTTTCCTCAATGTTGAGGCTTGTTTCCTGAGGGACAGGCAATCCAAGAGAGAGCAAGGCTGAATCTACAGCGCCTTTCATAATCTAGCTTCAGAAGTCTCCCACTGTCATCTCCGCAGTATCCTGTAGGTTACACAGGCCCGTCTGCTCAGTGTGGATGGGACTACACAAGGGCATGGAAGGAAAGATTGTTGGGGGTCATCCTAGAGACTGGCTGCAGCACCATCTCATCCTGGGGGAGGGGCCAAACTCCCACCTGCCTCACCCCTTGGAAGCATCTCCATGGCTGGCATGGGAAGAAAGGCTTGTTTCTTACTGTAGGTGATGGGACCATAGACGTGATGGTTTCATGCTTCAGCGCTCCCGGTGGAGTCTGCCTGAAGCTGAGACCACATCCCTACCTCATGTCTTCCTGCCCACTCTCCCTGGCCTCCCTCATGACCTTTCTCTTAAGAGCAGTCCCTCCATGAAATTGACTGCATCCAAATTCCCATCTCAGGCACTGCTTCTAGGGAACCTGACCTGGAGATCTTTGAAAAAGTACCTGCAGTGGGCTTTCTTGTTGTTTTGTTGATTTTTTGTTTGTTTGTTTGTTTGTTTTCTGTGCAAAAGCTTTTTATTTTGATGTAGTCCCATTTGTTTATTTTCTCTTTAGTTTCCATTGCCCTAGGAGCTGTATCGGTGAAGATATTGCTTTGGCATATGTCTGAGATTTTGCTGCTTGTGGATTTCTCTAATATTTTTAGGGTTTCCCGTCTTACGTTTAAGTCCTTTATCCATTTTGAGTTTATTTTTGTGTATGGTGTAAGTTGGTGGTCTAGTTTTATTTTTTTGCATGTATCTGTCTAATTTTCCCAACACCATTTATTGAAGAGACTGTCTTGACTCCATTGTATGTTCTTACCTCCTTTGTGGAATATTAATTGAGCTTAGTGGTTTGGGTCGATCTCTGGGTTCTCTATTTTATTCCATTGGTTTATATGTCTGTTCTTGTGCCCGTACCAGGCTGTTTTGAGAACAGTGGCTTTGTAATACAGCTTGATATCTGGTATTGAGATCCCACCTACTTTGTTGTTCTTTCTCAGGATCGCTGCAGCTATTCAGGGTCTTTTTATTTGAGATAAATTTTTGGAAAGTTCATTCTAGGTCTGTGAAATATGCCATTGGTATTTTAATGGAGAGTGCATTGAATCTATAGATTGCTTTGGGCATTTTTATGATGTTGATTCTACCAATCCATGAACATGGTATGTTCTTCCATCTGTTTATGTCCTCCTCTATTGCCAATGTTATTACCGATAAGGGTTTAATCTCCAACATTTACAGGGAACTCAAACAACTTAACAAAAGGAAGATAAACAACCCAATCAAAAACTGGGGACGGACCTAAATAGATACTTTTTGAAAGAAGACAGAAGAAAGGCCAAGAGACATATGAAAACATGCTCAAAGTCACTAATCATCCGAGAGATGCAAATCAAAATGACAATGAGGTACCATCTCACACCTGTCAGAATGGCTATCATCAACAAAT